CTTCAGTGGTATTAGTCCACCAAGTCCAGGACCATCAGCAAGTAAACTATGTATCGCGTTCATACGGCCCCTATTAAACAGTAGTCGCACCCGCTGTTGTTGCTGATGTTGCAATATGCAATCTTGAGGTGCTGCAGGAACTGAAGTCCACAAAATGTAACACGTCACAGATGCATTGCATTGCACTCAGCTTTATTTTTAGATGAGTTATGTCTCATGCGATCAGGACTGGTCGGCCATCGCCGCATGTCGGAAGCAATGTTGCCGATGCTGCAGCGACAGTTCCAAAGTGCTGCACCGGGACTTTCTCTGCCATTCGTCTCTCTCAGTGAGCTTAAGAGTGGATGAGCGGCTGAAGGACCCAGATTTCAAGAACAGAGTCGTAAGTTCGTCTTATTATTCAATGACCTTCAGGTCAACTATTAGAGTGTTGTGCAGGGTGATAACGTGCGAACTCTCGTCCGGGGTACCACGGAGTGGCTAATGATAAGAACAGTTGCCGCGGAGCTAAATTACTCCGGTGCAGGAGATTTATTTGCATTCAGACGAACAGATATGAACGGTCTTGTACAAGGTAGGTCGACCTACAGTAATCCATAAAAACTAGCAAGGCACCATTCGGCAACGCATGGGTGATGCAGCCTCGGACGCTGACATTACGCGCCACATCATAATGTGGTGGCATTCTGCACGGCACAAGAGACCACCCGTTGAGCGAAGTAAAGTATGCAGTGCGACTGAGGTGAGTCTCCTGCTTCCTTGGGTACATCTTTAGCCTCCTACGTTGACACTCGCGGAAGCGGATTAACCATGTTGATAATGCCGCTTTCTGCTACTAACGATCTTTGTACTACACCCTTTCATGTACCTACAGCATTCTTGTACCCCGGTTTTCCTTTTCTTTCGCCTTGTGCTGTTCTCAGGTGCGCGGTGAGATCCATTTCCTTTTCTGACCAACAGCTTGAAGCGCCGCCTATGTGGGTTCGCACGTCCAGCAAATACGCAACAGGTACTGGGTGAACGTTAGGTCCCAACCGTCCATATATTCGTTAGGTGATAAGTGCGTAGTAGTGTGCTGTCCATATTCGGATACCCAGGGTAGGCAATGACGGGATCTGGACCTACCGGATTTTCACGCATAGTGGCGATTTTCTATTGGTCAACGCCAGCAGCATTTTCATTGGCCCGTCGTAAACTGGACAAAATCCCATTTTAGCCGTCTCATGGTGGTAGCTCCTGTCCAGTTTAGCCTAATGCTCTCATAGGAACGTTTAGGATGCTAAGCTGGACAGAAGCTGGACATACGATACCAGGGATTGGCCACGGAATCAACCCAGAGCAGTGAAAACCTCCGCACTTTGCAATCCTGACACACTAAAGGAACCCGAAAGACTAATCAAATCAATACAAGCCACCTAAGTCGTGCGACTCCAACAGATCAAAACAATTGCGGTCGACTCTGAAGAAGGCAACCACACAGTCATAAGAAACTAATGGGCAAAACATGATTACGAAAAACGGCAATGGCAACCGGTCAGATTCAGGTTCAAGTTCAAGTTCAAGTTCAGTTTGGAGCGGAGCGATAGGGTAATCCCGTGAATGTTCCTTCTTTTGCGTATCGTTGGATCAGGAATTGAGAGGTCTGCTTGAGATGTTGGAAAGCCTAAAACAAAGACCGCATCACACCCCATCCAACCAATTACTGCCCACATTTTCCTACCCAGCAGTCCCTGCCAGGCCGGTTTATGTCAATTAAAAGAGTGAGGGGTAAGCTAAGAATACCAGGGGAGGTTTGTCAGCTAAGGAATGATAATACCAAGGTGAGCAGAAAATTTAAAATGAACGAAGGGTAAGTTGAAGAAACAAGTCGGTTAGGAGAAGGGGAAGGTTTGGTGCTGCCACCCAAGAGCATCTAACTGACGCCCGAAACCCTCTACCGTAGACTCCCTAACAACGTGCGCCGGAAGCGAGTTCCAACGTTCAATAACTCGACGCGACAAGCGAGTTTCCGTCCTTACCCGTTCAGAACGCTCTTTGTGCAGCTTCAACGGGTGACCTCTGCAGCTTGGCGGGACTAAATAGCCAGGACAAGTCTGGACCGATCTTACCCGTTAAGATACGGTAGGTGAGGATCAAATCTCCTCTAATACTGCGGTAGTGCATTGAGTGCATACCCGAGCTAAGCAAACGTTCGGGATACGTTTGCCCCCGTAATCCTTGCACTAACCTTGTACCCACTAGCAAAACCCACTCCAGTTCCATTTTGTCCCATACAAGACAAGGTGGACAGGCCTGGATACAGTACTCTAAGCGAGGTCGCACAAAAGCTGAGAACAGCTTCACAAAAATATTGGCCGTTAGGACACCGAAGGAGCGGCGAATAAACCACATCATACGGAACCCTCTACAAGCAGACTTCCTCCAATTGTCCCCAGAGTGAAGCACTGAGTTATGGGTGATACCTAGATTAACCTGCTGAATGACAACAGGGAGTACACTTCCACCAACTACATAGCGCGTGGGGGACTAGCACTTCCAATGCGGAGGACAAAATATTTCGCCTGATTTATAGGCATCAACCATAAGGTTGACCAATCCCAGAGCCTATCTAAGACACTCTGAAGTGCCTCAGAGCCACCAGGGATATCCACCATATTCCAGAGCTTGAGGTCATCAGCAAACAACAGCGACGGTACCCCAAGCTCCTGGGGTAGGTCACTGACATAAATTGCTGAAAGCAACGGCCCTAGCACCGAGCCCTGCGGAACGCCACTAAGAACAGGTTGTCTAAGCGAAAGGCTAAGCCCCACGCGTACACACTGTTCTCTGCCCTCTAGGAAAGCAGAAACCCATTTAAGAGCGGCACCAGATATCCCATACGATCTCAACTAAAGGAGAGTCGTTGATGTGGGACAGTATCAAAGGCTTTCGAGCAGTCAACGAAAAGCAAGTCGATTACGTGACCGTTGTCTGCTGCGTCAGCCAAGCTTTCAAGAGCTATAAGTAAATTTGTCAGACATGAAAATCCCTTACGGAATCCGTGCTGGGCCGCACTGAGAAGGTTAAACTTAATCAAATGATTCTCCACCGAATCCCTGACCAATTTTTCAAACAACTTAACTACTACACTTGTTAAACTGACAGGCCGGTATTTTGCGGGCAGAACTCGGTCCCCGCCGTTAAAAATCGGACGGATGATTACCTTCTTCCATTCCAAAGGTAAGGCACAGCTGTCGAGTGATATTGTAAACATGCATGTCAGAGGGCCACTTAGCTCAGCGTCTAATTCATGCAGCAGCTTCGGATGAATTGAATCAGGGCCAGAAGCTTTGGAAGGATTAAACCCTTGCAATAGCCCCAAGACTTGTGTCTCCGTTATGCTGATTTCAGTTAGGCAAGAACCCTCCGGAACATTTTTGAACAGCTCAACCTGTTGTAAAGAGGCCTCATGAGAAAAGACACCAGTATAGTGTTCGCTAAGTATACAGGCATTATCACAGTCGGTATGCCCATGGGTCCCGTCCGCTCGTAGTAAAGCCGGTTTAGACGAGTTTGTACCGCTATGCCTCTTTACGTAAGCAAAGAACTTTGGATTTGTTACCGCTGCGTTAGCCAGATCCTCCTCGTACTGAAGCCGAAGAGTGCTAAGACGATGCTTACATTTATTTCTAACCGCTCGATAGCCTTCTTAGGTGCTGGTTGCTGAAGCCGCTCGGTAAGTTCGCCCGCACTAAGGGCGCTTCCGGAGCAGGTATTTACCTGTATGATCTATCCATGGAGGCTGCGACCGTGTCACCCTTCTCTTAGTGAGTGGAATGAGGGGAGCAGAGATCTCGGTGGGTTGTGCCTTAAATGTCCCCCAGGCTGTCCCAACGGTGTCAGCCACGGTGATCGCACAACGCAAAACTGAAGCTTTGTCTCGCATTGCGTTAAAGTCTGGCCGTCAAATATTTTAATTTGCCTCTTCGGTAGCTTGATGACATTTAGTTAGAGCACATCGAAATGACATGCAGACATGGTCACTGGCTCCTAGAGGACAGTCGTAGGTAGTGTCAGTCACGAAATCGTGTGACTTCGCAAAAATGTGATCCAAGGTAGACGGGATTTGGTTGCGCATATATCTAGTCGGGAGATCCGCGCACTGATGCAAAGGCAGTTGCAATGTCAGCTCAAGGAGATCCGAACCGAAAGCGCCCACCGCCGAACTGCAAGGTAGCTCAGCCCAGCAGAATTCAGGG